AGCCAGACGTGGTGGGGCATGTCTGTAAACCATGGGGTGTGGGTAGATTCCCAGCACCCACATGGCATCCCACTCCATTCCAGGGATCCAGCATCCTCTTTGTGGCTTCCACAGGCACATGGTGTGCAGATACACGTTGAGGTGAAATACCCGCACATATTAAACATTTTGCTCTTTATTGTACTGGTGATTGAACATAGGACATCACGTGTGCTTGACAAGTGCTCTACTGAACTGATCCTCATCCTCTGTCACTGTTATTTTGAGACAGTTTGACCCAGGTTGCTGTTGAGCTCATGTCAGTCTCTTGAATGCCGAGATTATAGTCATATGCCCATATCAAGGTCCCAGTATATAAAACTGTGTATGCGTGTGTGTGATGTTTGTAATGCGCTACACTCTCATCCCCCAAGTCAACTTGTGTTGAAGTGTGATTTGTGAACAAATACTGAGATTTTTCTTTTTCTTTTTTTTCCCTCCAGGCTGACACCAACAAAGATCGGATTGACATTGCCAATACAAGAGCAAAGAAACTCATTGACAGCTAAAGCCACTGCTGTACTTCTTTACCAGTTTCTCCGTTCTCTAGCTCCTCCTAAGTCATTACCTGTTCAGAGTTTGAAAGTTGGTGAAAGAAGGACCAGAGGAGGAATGCCTCCCTACTTCTTCCTTTCTGTCCTTTGGGGTAGGTTCCTGCTTAGGCTTCACTACAGCCTCTCCTCGTTCACACTCCTAAGCTGCTTTCCGTGCATCACACCCAGTCCATCATCCTCCTCACTTAGCATCTTTGCATTCAAGATTTGGAAGCATTGCCAAAGAGCCATGAAGTGTGGGTGTCTGTATAAGTAGCTTTTGTTGTTGGTTGATTGGTTTGGTTTTGTGGTAAAGAGCAAGAAGAAGGAAGAAGAATTGAAGTTGTTAACTCATTAAAGAAACTACAGGTCAAGAAAACGAAACAGGCTAATGCCTGGGCTGGGAGGTTTTACTCATGCATTTTTTTTTTTTTTTTACATCACTATTTTGCAGCTTCTGCTCCAAAGGAGAACACAGTGGGTTTTCTTACAGTGAGCTTCACTGAGTTTGTAGTGATTTGTATATGTACATAGGTTCTGGGATCCCGTTTCATACTGTACATGCAGAAATTCTCATATCAGGAGTCATAGCATGGTCCCATTGTAGACCTGTTAACCTCGTGAAGTTGTCATTAATCTTTTAAAGATGTACATATATATATATATATATGAAATATGAGACTTCCTCACTAAAGCAGGGCTTCAAAATTTTGGGTAAAGTTTGACAGTGTATCATGTGAATTCAGATTTACCTCAATACTAAGAATTACGTTGAGATATGAAAAAGAAAACTTGTTTTGATCTCAGGTAGCAAAATAGATTACTTTGGATTTTGTGTGGTTTTAGACATTTAAAAAGTTATAATTTGTTACTAAAAGTTGTTTAGGAAATTCGGCCTTGAGATCACTCATTGATGCCTGTACTGCCACCCCTCTGTTGTATGTTCAGAGTCACGCCTATGTAGTCATGCAATGCTGGGAACCTTGAGCTGCTATTGTCACCTTTGTTTAAGAATTAGCATCTGTACACTTTAGAGCTACCAAAGTAGATTGGCTTGACTAATAACCATTACTTGATTCTTACAATTAAATTTTGTAACTAATGGTATTGTTCTCTCAAATAGGCAACATGTTTCTTACTTATTTGTGGGGGCGATCATTTAATCAGTTAACAAATCGAATAAAGCAAATGTCCATACATCAAGCACTGCAACTGAACGCTGCAATTAGCTCTTTTCCAGTTTTTATTAGGAATGTTTATAGGCATTTCTGTGGCTGGTCACGAGTCCGTTTTAGTCACTAATTGTCTTAGTCATTTGAACTTAAATCCACTGAGTATTTCTAACTGGAAGTTAGTTACAACATTTACTAAAGACAGCTCAGAAACATCCCAAGGGTGAGGAGGACAGTATTGAAGTTAAACAACAGAGAAATGCTCCATAACAGGATGGATAGTTTGTCAGGTGAAGTTTAAAACACTAGATAGTGCTATACCTAAAAGTGCTTTTCTTAAAAGCATTTAAAAACTTAATACATTGATCTGGCTAAAGAAATGGTACTGCTAGGTGGTATCCAAGGTTTAGTTGGAACATGTATTAAAGTACCCAGTTGTCAGTTTTTCCTTTGCTCTCATTGGCAGGTATGAATGTATGCCTATTTCCGTGCCTTGGTTTCCTTACTTATAAATGGGAATTAATTAATCCTACTTCATAAACTTATTCACAGAATGGTAATGCCTAGAAATCTCTTAGAGTGAGCAGGGCTCAGAGGCTACACTGGTAATCCCATCACTGGGGAACCTGAGGCAGAGCCAACCTACGCAGTGAATTGTGGACCAGCCTAAGCTACATTTAGATAAAAACACCCTCCCCCGACCAAGACAAACAAAAACCCTTAGAATGGTGCCTGTCAGGTGTACATGTAATAAATAATAGCTATTTTCTCTAGAATGGAGGGAGTTCTTCTTGGTCAAAGATCTGTGAATTTGATGAAAGAATAAAAGCAAAGAAACTGTTGTCCCTTCCATTATTTTTGAGAGTTAATAGCAAGGAGTTAACATGAGCTGGAGTCATCTGTCATCTGGCTTCCCTTTTTCATTTTCTAGTATTGTGACGTTGAACACAGTACCTGTGACTACAGTTAAGAAATAGTGTCCCGCCAGGCAGTGGTGGCACACACCTTTAATCCCAGCACTCAGAAGGCAGATGCAAGCAGATCTCTGTAAATTTGAGGCCAGCCTCATCTACAGAGCTAATTCCAGGACAGCTAGGGATGTTACACAGAGAAACCCTGTCTCCAAAAACAAACAAACAAAAAAGAACAAGTATCCTGTACCAAACCTTTTCTCCTTTTTCTTATGGTTTCTTGAGGCAGGGTTTCTCTGAGCAGCCCTGGCTGTCCTGGAACTCAATCTCTAGATCAGACTGGGAAGTATTTGCTTCCCTTTTCCTCCCCGATGCTAGAATTAAAGGCATGTGCCACCACCGCCAGGCATAAACTTTGTATTCTTTTAAATTGATTCTCACCGTGTAACCTTGGCTTGCCTCAAAACAGTAAAGCTCAAATTTCATCTTATTTTGAGTCTTAACTTGAGCTATTCCCAATTTGTTTTTTCTTCAGTTTTAATTTATCCTTTATTCTCACTTGATCTTTCCTTATTACATATGGTTATGACTCTCCCATTAACTAAAACATCTAAATTTTAAACATCCTATAATGAACATTTAAAATGAATTTTTTAGGACTGAAGTTGTAGAATTACTCAGTTCACAGGGTGTTTGCCTAGTATTCAAGAATACTTACGTTCAATGTATCACCGCATAAGCCAGGTGTGGTGGCACGCCCCTCTAATCTCAGTACTAGGTCAGAGATTATAGGAGGATCCAGGAGTTCAAGGTCATCCTCAGCTATACAGTGAGTTATAGGACAATCTGGGATATGTGAAAACCAGTGAGATGGCTCAGCAGGTAGAGTCACCTGCTTCCAAGCCTGACAAGCCAGGTGTGCTCTCCAGGACTGACATTGTGGAAGAAGAAAGCCAGCTCACAAAAGTTGCCCTCCAGCTTCCACATGTGGTGCCATGGTGTATGCAAGCTTATATACACATACACATAAAATAAAGTGTGATAAAAATTAAAAACACATTATTTGAATGCTGGTTTCCTGGGTGATCTCATTTCCTAGTTATCCTGATTAGGTCCCTAGTTTGAGCTGATATTCAGATCACTTATCCTGAAGTCTTCGTTTTCTGCCTCTATTCCTGTATCATTTACTCAATTGTACTTTGAGGCTTTATAGATAAGATAAATGGCTTATTTCATTGAGTACCGCTGTGTTGTTTTTATGTGTCTTCTCACTATAATACATACCTGAGAAGTATTCCCTATATTTACAGATGAGAGTAAATTGCCTAGAAAGCTATTAAATAACAAACTCTGGATCCAGACCTTGACCCCTCTGAGGATGGAGCCCATGATCCTACCCCATCCATATTGTGACTCCAAATGAAAACTTAAAGCTTATTGGGTAGATTTGTTTTGTTTTTGTTGTTTTTAAAGATTTTGTGTATGAATGTTAGGCTTGCATGTATGTAGGTACAGCACACATATGTAGTGCCCAAAGGCCAGAAGAGGGTGCTGGATCCCTTGGAACTGGAGTTATAGATGGTTGTGAACCATCCTGTAGGTATAGGAACTGAACCTGGGTCCTCTGCAAAAACAAGTACTTTTAATCACTGAGCTCTCTCTCCAGCTCCTTAAAGTGTTAAGCACTTTAATCTAGTAAGAGAGATAAATATAGGAAGTGGAAACCATTCTATCAACAGATGGGGGAACAGTTAATTCGGATTAGATTTAGGGAAGGAGCTTAGACATAGGGCAGGACCACTTGTGGCTCTTCTAGAGGATCTGGGTGGGTTCTGTTCCCAGCCTCCACAAGGCAGCTCAAAACTATCTGTAGCTCCAGTTCCAGAGAATCCAATTCCCTCTTCTGACCACTGCAGGCAACTCAAACACAGAAAAATAAATCTTCATGTTAGCTACTGAGCAACTCACACCACCTATCCCCAGTAGAGAAAACAACATGGGGAAAAGAACACCTGGACCAAATACAAGGCCAGAAAGGCTGCTTCATGTAAGCTCTTGTGATTTTTTTAACTGTAAGATAGTATTAACTATTATTGAAAACTACTAGTATATCCTTAGTCAAGAACAGACTTCAGAAACCAGTCCTGGCGATGGCTTTGAGTGTTCTTACCAGTGACAATCTGAAAACTGTGCCCTCACATTCTCTTAAGCACGATTCCCAGTTCCTCAGAAACGTCTGAGCGACACAGTAGATTTCACTGCTCATGAAACATTCCCAGTTTACTTTCAAAGAACAAAGCACCACTCAGGAGATCACAAGCTCTTCTTTAAATGATGGACATTGCTTCCAAAGTTCATTAAAAATATTTTATTTAGTATATCCTCTCATTCAGAGAATAACCATGATAAACATAGGTTATTTTAAAATATTATAGCAATGGTTTTCTTGAAGGTAATTTGATTAGTAGTTATAAATACAAAAATGGGAGAAATTACCAGAAATAACACATGATTTTTAGTAAAGCTCCAGGAAAATCTTGATTATTAAAATTCATTTAAAATCTTACAAGTAGGCTGAGTGAGGCGCATGCCTGTAATCCCAGTACTTAAGGGGGTAGAGGCAGGGAGAATGTAATTCAGAGGGCAGCCTGGGCTACATAGCAAATACCTAAATTGACTAAAAAACAAAAATTTTACAATTTTTGCATATACTTTTAGCACTTCTGAGCCCCCTACCAATAAGGCACCCACAACAGTAAAAAAAAAAATTGCTACTGCAGCCTTCCTTGGTGGCTGAGGGGTTGGTGCTCCTCTTGGTAAAACTTGCTTTAAGAGAGCTACATATTTATGTACACCCCAAGTTCCAAGTGGAAGCATGGAACAAAAGCCTAAATCCTTAACCATACAAGTTGCCCACAAATTAGAATTTCATAAAAATATGAAGTGTTAACACAGAGGTGATGTGGTAACTGACTTTATGAAAGCTGGTGTGCTACAACTCCAGAAAGTCTCCAGCTGTGGTGTGGAGTCATCCTGTTACCAGGCAGCATTCCCTCACTCAATGAACAGCAACGACCTCCTGGTTTCTTAGAGCCAGTTTCTTAGATGCTGGTTTTGAAGACCAGCACTGGCCATCGCCCTACCCATGGCTCAAAATGAAAGGCTCCTCCTGCCTCCTAAGTCCTCTCCTTTAGCTTATCAAAAAGTTATTAAATGAAATGTCATCTGGAGCATCTCCCACATCAGGAGCCTTGAGCTCGGCCAGATTCCAACAGAGCTTCCAAGTCTTTGTCCTGTAGGGTTCTCATGGTCCTGTAGAACATCATGCAAACTTCTTCTTGGTGGCTGTGAACCTCTCCATGTACTAAAAACACAAGAGAAAAATACACATATGGTATTTATGGGCAAATATAAGGGTATTTTTTAAACTTAGGTTTTTAAATTTTTTCTTTCTAATTTGACTTGGTTCATTTCATATAAAATTTACTTTTATTTTTCCTCTCCTTTTTTAAAAAATTTTATTTATTATACTATACAGTGCTCTGCGTGCATGTATCCCTGCAGGCCAGAGAGGCACCAAATCTCATTACAGATGGTTGTGAGCCACCATGTGGTTGCTGGGAATTGAACTCAGGACCTTTGGAAGAGCAGGCAGAGCTCTTAACCCCTGAGCCATCTCTCCAGCCCCTTGCCTCTCCTTTTTTGAGACAGATTATCACTATGTACCTCTGGATGGCCTTTTAACTCAGAGATCTCTTTGCCTCTGCCTCCCAAGTGCTGGGATTAAAGCCATACAACCACACCCAGAAAACTCTTATTTAATAGTTACTAAAGCACATTGATTTTTCTCATGTCTATTACTAGGAAGATATGCAGAGTGTGGAAAAAGTCATCTTGGCCCAAATACAGTCTGACCAAGTCTTAACTGCCTCCATAATGTGAACCTGGTGATGCCAACAGTAGACATCACCTAGGTTACCTCAGCATTTTCTCCGGCAAGACACCAGAAATGTAGAAGATGCCAATACGTACCTTATCATAACCCTCTAGTTCTCGAAGTTTCTTTATTTCAAAGAGATTGCCTTCCACAGCGAGCAGGCAGATCTGGGAGTCGCTGAGGATGCTCTGTGGAAGCATGCTGAGCTCGAGGCAGTTCTCCTCCAGGCGCAGGACTTTGAGGCGTGGGCAGCAGGAGATCCTCACTGAGATCTGAGAAATCTGTCCAGCAACAAAGCAGAGGGCAGAGAGCACAGCGGCCACTTCTTACCACACTGAAACAGACCTCGCCTGTGTCCTAGTTACTCTTCCACCGCCTCCGTCTTCTCACTACCTACTCGTTGCAGAAGCCTCTGTTAACAAGCCTTCTGTTACTCCTCCACTTTCAAATGATGTGAAGGTTACCAGTAGTTTTTCAGAAATAAAAACTAATAATAAAAGCACTGTACATTCGTTACAGAAAACATGAGAATCATTAAGTTTGAGGGAAAAGTTTCCAGTACCCTGCTACTCAGAAACAACCACATAAACATTCTGACACCTGCTGCTCCCTTGCCAGAGGCAAGGTTCCATGCTCCCCCGTGCACTGCTACATTGACTGGGCCGTCCATCCTTTCCTTGAGACTCCGTCTTGTGCATGACTCTAGGTTTTTCCTCTCTTGAATTTCTTCTGATTTTGTTTTTACATCTATTTCTTATTTTCAAGCAGAAACCCCTAATGCTTCATATTTTACATTCTCAAACATCTCCTAGAAAACAGTCATTCTTAAAGCTATTTCACTTATGACCTCAAAATCTGAATCAACAGTCCTGCCTTACTAATCTCTAATACAGTTTTGTATCTACAATTTTCACTAAAACATTGGGATGTCCATTCAACAGCATTGTGTAGGGCCTCCAGGTCAGTATCAGACACTTTGTCTTCGGTCCATTCGGTTCTTTGGCCCATTAAATGCTCCGAGTCTTTTCTTTCCCATGCTACAGTGATGTGGGATTTCTCTCTATATGCTGTGATTACCACTGATAAATAAAGGAACTGTTTTGGGCCTACAGCAGAGCTATAGGGAAAACAGAGCTGGGGAAGTAAGCTGAATGCTGGGAGAAAGGAGGCGGAGTCATGAGAAGCCATGTAGCCCCCCCCAGAGACAGACACCAGAACTTTAGCTGATAAGTCACAGCCATGTGGTGATACACAGATTAACAGAATGGGTTAAATTCATATATAAGGGTTAGCCAATACAAAGCTAGGGCTAATGGGCCAAGCAGTTATTTAAATAATATGGTTTCTGTGTGATTATTTTGGTTCTGGGCGGCCGGGACGAACAAGCAGCTCCTGCCAATGCTGCAGGATGAACCGGAGTCTCATGTGTGCCACACAATTACTGTACCTCTCAGCTGCTGTCCAGTCCCAGGTCACTATATTCTATTGATTGCCTAGTATCTCCAACCCTCACTTGGGAACTTTACTGCAAATGCAGATTCTTAAACCTTTCACCTTAGGTTCCCCAGATTATTCAACTAAGGTCTGAGAAACCTTCCGGCTACATGGTATATCTAATCCATTTTTCCTTAAAAATCTCAGGGAAAAGATGAAGCCACCCTCAGAGTGAATATCATAATAATGCTAACTATGGTCTAGCAGACCAGTAACCTGTACATGGTGGCTAATATACTGAGTTGTACATACATGGGACATAAAAGCTACAGAAACTAAGGGCTCTCTAAGCTCATGCTTCTTTCATCACTGCCTCATGCCTAGAGCAAGAAGATTCAAAACACGGCAAAACATTTCAAATGGAAAGTTGCCAATGATAAGCTCGCTCCAGAAAAACGGTCACTTAGGGATTTTTCAACAGAAAGATACTTAACCAAGCCAAAGAAAAAGATGTCTGAATCTTAGATTTAATGGGTTTAGGTCTTATTCTCTATATACCATTCCTGCCCTGGCTCCTCACTGAGTGATTGGTGGTGTGAAAAGGAACTGAAGATTCACAAAACTTCCAGTAGTGTGTGTGTGTGTGTGTGTGTGTGTGTGTGTGTGTGTGTGTAAATATCTCACCGTTACTCTGTTTTGCCTTCTGCAAAACACCTTGAACACTATTACATAGTCCCCATCAACGCACTCCCTGACATTGGGCATTGAAGTAAGTTCAGCTTATGGAATATATCTTTTAGCCTCTGATATCCTTGAAGAAACAGGAAAGGATTAGGAGACCGTAAAACCAGACATACACAGGGGAGGGGGGCAGATCTCTCTCAGAAATAAAAGTACCGACCTGGTTCTGGTTGAGATTGAGTTCGATGGCCTGTAGCTCCCCTACTGTGTCGGGTATACTCCGAATCTGGTTTTTAGAGAGATCTACTACATCCAGATGCCGCAGGCTGCAAAGTTGGGGTGGTAGTGCTCCCAGCTGGTTCCCAGAGAGGCTCAGGGTCTTCAGGGCAGAAAGCTGCCCAAAGGTGGACGGTAGCTCTCTCAGGTGATTGCTGTTTAGACTTAGAGTCTCTAGTTTTTTCAGATTACATAATTCATCGGGTAGAACAGCTGGTGAAGAAATTTTTTTTAAGAATCTGATAGAACTAATGAAGTTTATAAAAAGACAGTGCAGTCTATTTCATTTTGTTTTTGTTTCTATTTTTGAGACAGGGTCTCATTAAGTTGTCTAGGCTGGCCTTGAAATTATGATCCTTCTGCCTCAGCCTCTTGATTAGCTGGGATCATAAGGCCTAAATCACCAGGCCCCACTTCTTACATAGAATTCTCACGTCACGTTTAGGTATCACATTTTACCAACAGTGTTCAGAAGATTAAGGAGCCATTAAAATGCAGAAAAGCATTTATGGGTATAGTAGTTTCGTTTTGTAATGGGGCCTCGGTATATTCTAACAACAATCTAGGGAGGTTTGGAAGATCCTTCCATTCCACCTCCCCGCCCCCAATTAGATAACTCTGTTTACACCTTATCCCATAAGTCTTCTGAGTCCAAATTAACCTAGTAGTAATGATTATGCTACCCAGGGAGGCGTGTAGATTTAATTGCAATAGGCAGAAAGCTTCAATACTCTTAACATTCTGCATCTCCTGAGCTGATTTCGTAACAAAATCAGCTTGTAAGAGGAAAAACACCCTTCATAACTGCTGCTCACTAGCAAAAGCTAGCCAGCACAAAAGCCATACTCAGTTTGTTGTTGTTGAGGGAGAGGCTCTTCAGCAGAGCGAACTTTCCTATAAGCAAAGGCGGCAGGCTGTCGATCTTGTTGTTGGACAAATCGATGGTCCTTAGATTGCTTGTCAGCTTCTGCAACTCTGAGGGGAACTGAAGACAGGAGTTCACAGCGTGGAAAATCCCGCACCAATAAACTTGGCCACCCCGCCATCCCTCTCCCTTTTAGTTTCTCGGTCGGGTCCCCTCTCGTCTCACCTCGGTCAGACCACGGTCTTTAAGCTGAAAGACACCGGTTTTCTGCGCTGTTTCCACATGAGCGCGGAGGGCACTGTTTCCCATCCTAGCGCCGCGGCTCAGTTCCCTGCGGGAAAGAAGCGTAGCTGTCACCGCCCAGTCTAGACTTAGAGCCACCCGGTAAACCTCCCTGTTTGGATCTCCTGTCCCAGTTGTCACCTTCTGCCTATCCCTACTTCCTAGGGGGCAGCCAGAGAGTGTGGCAAGGAGAAAGCAGGCTGGTAGACAGAGCTACCACAAGGTCCTGCTGCTTTGGAAGCCGAGCTAAGGCCGGGGAGCCTCCGGCAGCCGCTGCCGGATCAGGGGGCTCGAGACTCGCCTCCTACGGCTCGGTGCAGAGAAGGCTCCGCCAGGGAACAACCAGGACCCGCGCTCGCCTGAGACGCGCTCCCAGGGCTTCCGCCCGGGCGGGAACGCCCTGTGACATCATCAAGCCGCGCGATCGTTCGTTGTGTGCCTCTCACTCCCCGCGCCAGTTCCAGAAGTGTGGAGGAGCCATGGCTGCCGCGAACCCGTGGGACCCGGCGTCCGCGCCGAGTGCGGCTGGGCTACTGCTGAACCACTGGGTGGCTTCGGGGATGGTCACTGAGGTACGCGGGGGCCCGCGACGGCGTCATCAAGGGGGCGACAGAATTCCGCTGTGATGTGAGGTGGTGGTCGTGTCTGCGCGGGGCGGGAGTCGTCCTCCTGTTGAGGGCTGTGTTGAATACCCGGCCGGTATCGTCCCTTGGAGACTGTGGCCGTGACCATTCTCCCGTGGGTTCTTTAAGTGTGAGGGACCGAGCAGATGGCGTTCCCAGTACTCTGTGGTTTTGAGTGTTTGCAGGTTATCCCGGGCTACTTGTCGGAGATGGAACAGCGCTCTGCATTTTTCTTTTTTAAAAATTCCACTGATACTGCTTCCACTAGACCAGCGATTCTCAACCTTCCTAAAGCTGCAACCCTTTAATACAGTCCCTCATGTTGCGGTGACCCCGACCATAAAGTTATTTTCGTTGCTACTTCATTACTGTAATTTTGCTACTGTTATGAGTTGTACTGGAAACACCCGTGTGTTCGACGGTCTTAGGCGACCCCTGTAAAGGGTCGTTCAACCCCCAGAGGGGTTGCAAGCCACAGCCTGAGAACCGTTACACTAGACTGTAGAGTGGGGGCAGTGAGAAAGAAATACTGGCCGGTACTTAAAACGAGCATTTCCGACAACGTCTACTTGTGGAAATTATTAAAGTATGTTTGGGGCAGGAGGACTTGAGTACAGAAGAACTCCAGTGGAGATTTTTTTTGTGGGAGCATCTTTTTTTTTTTTTTTTTTTTTTCGAGACAGGGTTTCTCCGTAGCTTTTTGGTTCCTGTCCTGGAACTAGCTCTTGTATACCAGGCTGGCCTCGAACTCACCGAGATCTGCCTGCCTCTGCCTCCCGAGTGCTGGGATTAAAGGCGTGCGTCACCACCACCGCCCGGCCTGGGAGCATCTTTTAAAGGTGTGTGTTTGTGTGGTGTGTTGGAGTGTGAATAGGGGAAGCGTTTGATTTTGAGAGGAGAATAACAAAGATTAGCCCAAGAAGTGGTTGTTTTAGACATGTACACACGTCGAGGGAGACAGAAAAGGGAGAAATTGAATATGTGAAGGAATAATAGAAAATGATAGAAAGGAATAGGGAGACACTAAGGACTTTAAGATTGAAGGGAAGGAAGAAGTAGTAATTGAAGCCAGATGTGACGGCACTCTCCTTTAAGCCCAGCCACTCCAGGGCAGAGGCAGGTGGATCTCTGAGTTGGAGCACAGCCTGGTCTACAAGTGAGTTCTAGGACAGGCAGAAAAACCCTGTCTCCAAAAAACAAAAAGGAAATTGAGGAAAGTTAGTAATTCATCTGTAGAAATTAGTGATGCAGACCTGATAGAAGGCCTTTTTTTTTTTTTTTTTTTTAATTCATGGTAGCGGTATTAGAGACTGCTGATATCCTAAAGTGTTTAAGAAACAGACAACCAGCCGGGCGGTGGTGGCGCACGCCTTTAATCCTAGCACTCGGGAGGCAGAGGCAGGCGGATCTCTGGGAGTTCGAGGCCTGCCTGGTCTACAAGAGCTAGTTCCAGGACAGGCACCAAAGCTACAGAGAAACCCTGTCTCAAAAAACCAAAA